CACTCTACCTATCAGAATGCTGCCTCCATCTTCACCTTCAATAAATCTGCACTTTGCCTGTTTAAAAACAAAAACAAAAACAGAGAGAGAGAGAGAGAGAGAGAGAGAGAGAGAGAGAGAGAGGGGAACGCACTGGTTTCTATGAAATGTTTAAAGTGTAATATACATTGCTTTTAGGATTTTTCTTCAGCAGGAAAATGATGACTTAAAACATTAATTAGGTTTGTCTAATATCTTGGTTTTCATAGCTAACCTAAAGTTGACAGTTAAAATGGGTAAATAAGATTTAACATAAATGGGATTAATCTTCATAAATGTTTATTAGAAGACACATCTGATTAATTTGCAATTAAAATACTAAATATCAACTGCTAAGTAAATTCAAGAAATCTTGACTTCTTAAATTCTATAACATATGTTTATAAAGTCTTTTAAATGATTGCTTTATAACTGTTTTTATTTATATAATTTAACATTCTGTAACTGGATAAGGGTAACTTGTCACCCATAAGTAATATAAAAATTTTATGTGACTTTTTATGTTGGGATGAGAATTTATATGTATTTTTGGAAAGGTAATAAGGAGAACCTGACTTGTTTAAATGTTTCCTAATCTGCTCCTGGGATGGGGACAAAGGGTATTTTCGTGAATTTTCCCTTTCCTTCTCCCTTGCTCTTCATATTCCTCCTACTACTATGTTTTAGCCCTTGCTTTCTTAAAACCTGCTTGTTCATTTTGTTTCTTCCTTCCTGCAGACTCCCTGCCTCCAGAGGATGACTCGACAGTGATTTACTCCCATTCCCACTGTTGACTGTACACTGCTAGACCGGTCGGGCAGCCACTTTTGGGGCTTGGGACAACCCCAAACATAGGGAAGAGACAAGGCCCCAAGTTAGGCAGGGACAACACCCAAATCCAGCAGGAAATAGATTCAGAAGATGAGGCTTCCTCCCTCATCATCCTCTCAAGAAATTTTGGGGCAATGCCTCTTAGGGGGAAATGAGGCAAGACAGATTGGGGACCCTTGTCCCAGGGCCCACTTCACCTCAATCAGCAGAGTTGATATGATCTTTAGGACCTCCTTTCATCCTGCTCCATTGCTGTTATCAGAGGAGCTAACTTTCCCTAAGTGTAAACAGCAAGATCCTGTTTTCCAAAACTATCCCCAGGAGCATATGCCAACTCCCAAGTTTGACGGAGAGTAACCTAAGGAAAGGAAACCCCTGTTTAAGACCCCATGCATGTTACGTGCATCTCATGTACCTGATTTAAGACTTGAGAAGGAGCATTTGGTGATACACAATAAGCATTATGTGCAGGGTCCAGGAATCTGTCAATCACCCTTATTTAGCATAAATCACTCCTAGCAAAAAAACTTGCCAAAGGTGAACAAAGAACTCAGAAGTGGATAAAAGCCCAGATGCCCTCTGAATCTGTGGGCAGACACCTTTGTCTTATCTATGCTGCATCTTTGCATCACAGGTCCCTCCAATAAACTTAATTACTTTGCTTTGTCTTGGTGAATTCTTCTCACTGCCTGTGCATCAGCCATTATCCAGGTCCCATGACCCATGCCACTATACAATCTCTGGCCTCGTCCCTTTGCTAGCTGAATTGGCACAGTGGGTGGTAGAATATTTCTGGAAACTATTCTGAAAACATGTACAGTAATGACTTTATTGTACATGAAACTGACTGTAAACCACATATATATATTCCACCAAACTCAAATTAAATGTATTTCTAAGTCTACTTTTTCCTTAACCAGATCCTAAAAGTATCTACAGCCTCATCAACAGTAACAGAGATGGAGGAGTGGGAAGATAGTGGTCTTAACCAGTCCTGGATAAAATAATTTATTTTTGCAAATTTTATTAAAACATATAATCAAAAGAGCCGATTGTTAGGTTCCTCTCAGAGCCTGGGGAGGAATGTGCATGAGGCTGACCCAGCTGAAGCTTCATCAGCTTCACAATAAACCCACCTCCACCTGGCACACAGTCAGCATTATAGAAATGTTAACTATTATCATTGGCTCCATTTTCTGACAAGTTTTCCTCCTGTGGTTGCTCCCACATTCAGAAGCTCCAGCTTTATCTCCTTCCAGGTTCTGGTTCAGCAGGAAGGACAAAGTGTCTCTTCTAGAACTTCATGTACCAGAATTTACTTTGATTGCACCAGTCTGGGTCATGAGTCCCACGAACCAAACACTATGGTCATAGTAATTCCTTGAGTTCATTAACTAGCTTTGGGGCACGTGCTATATTCTTTCAGCTGGAAGTGAGTCAACACCACCAAACCATGGAGACAGGGAGTGGGGGAAGGATTGTTTCCCTATAAGAAATCTGGGGAAATTAAAAGAGCCATGAATGTTGAATAAAAAAAAAATAGATGTTCATTTACTGTGAATGTAGAGTTCAAGAAGAAAGAGTGAAGAAAAGAAGTTCAGCTAGGGCAAAGACAAGACAGAATGGAAAAGGTTGCCACAACCTCTAGCTTGACACCTTGGGTCAGGTCCACTCAGATGGGCTCTAGAGGCATGGCCCTCCCTTGAGGATCTCATTGGCCTAGGTGAGCAACATGTGACCTTAGCCCAGCTCAGCCATGCCTGCCAGTTCTGATCTAGAATGACCACCTCCAGATCTCTTCTGCCTGTCATATGTGTTTTTTATTCCTCCCCAGTACTGTGAATCGTTGCTTACCTGAGCCACATCCCCAGCCCTTTATTCATTTATTTAAAGTAGGGTCTTGCTAAATTGCCCATGCTGACCTTGAACTTGTGATTCTCTTGCTTTCGCCTCCTGAGTCACTGTCATTTGCCTTCTTGTCCTGATCTGGTCCTTCTGGACATAGGACCTATTTGCAAACCCCTATTCATAGCCCTTGGATGGCCTCTGTGGACAGATCTTAAGGATTTAAGCCCAAGGTCAACAACTTGAGTCTCAACCAAGTCAACTCCTAAGACTTAGCATATAATTAATAGGAAATTGCTATCGGCAGATCCTAAATATTTCCTCTCATCCATCAGAATCCTGTGACTCTTTTGGGAGTAGCCAAGGTTGATTCATTGGGTGGTGGTTTTCAATATTCTTGTAGTCATAAAACTTTTTTTGAGAGTCTGACAAAAGCTACAGACTAATCTCTGGTCAGGTGGCCACATGTGCCTACTGAACACTTTTTTTTATTTTATTTTATTTTATTTTATTTTATTTTTTTTAAAGAGAGAGTGAGAGACAGAGGGGGACAGAGAGAGAGAATTTTTAACATTTATTTATTTTTTTCTTAGTTCTTGGCGGACACAACATCTTTGTTGGTATGTGGTGCTGCTGAGGATCGAACCCGGGCCGCACGCATGCTAGGCGAGCATGCTAGGCGAGCGCGCTACCGCTTGAGCCACATCCCCAGCCCTACTGAACACTTTTTAAAAAAATTTTTTTTGTAGTTGTAGATGGACACAATACCTTTATTTTATTTTGTTTTATTTTTATGTGGTTCCCGGGATCAAACCCAGTGTCTCACACATGCTAGGCAAGCGCTCTACCCCTGAGCCACAACTCTGGCCCTACTGAACACTTTTTGTTTTCTTCTACAGTACTGGAGATTGAATCCAGGAGTGCTCTACTACTGAGCTACATCCTTAGCCCTTTTAAAAATATTTTTATTTGAGACAGCGTCTCTCTAAATTGCTGAGGCTGGCACAGAACTTGCAACCCTCCTGCCTCTGCCTCCTGAATTGCTGGGATTACAGGCATGTGCCACCATGCCTGGTTCTACTGGATACTTGGAGAGAAGCCAGGAACCCCCATGGAATAAGCTATTTTTTGTGGTTTTCTCCATTTTACATTTTATGTTTTCATTCAATTTTATATCTGGTTTATGTGAATAGAAATATTTCCCATTTTTTTAGTTTTCACTTGTTCATAACCATTATCAATTTCCTGTTTTGACTGAGTTTGTAAGAATACATTTTAGGTTCATTTGTAATAATTCAGCATTATTTCAGTTTTGTTTGCCTTGAAAATGATTATTGTTCAATTCTATGATGAATTGGCAATAAAATAACTGAACTTCTGTCATTTCACAAAAACATTTAGTGCAATATACATACTAAATAAACAGCTAAGAGGCGGGTGTGGTAGTGTACCCCTATAATCCCAGTGGCTTGGGAGGGGGAGGCAGGAGAATCACAGGTCAAAGCCAGCCTCAGCAATTTAGCAAGGGTTTAAGTAATCTAGTGAGATCTTGTCTCTAGATAAAACATAAAAAGGGCTGGGGATGTGGCTTAGTGGTTTAGCACCCTTGGATTCAATCCCTGGTACCAAATAAATAAATTGCTAAGTGACTTCAGACAGTTTTCCTGTACAATATTCATAACCTGACAGTTTTCTGATTGGTCCCTTTTATTTTTCTTTATTATAAAGTCTGCTGCTGAATTCTAGTAGAAATCCCCTAACCTCCTAGAATGTGCTGAATTGGAAGGCAGAGGATAGAGTATGGGATGAAGGGCCTGTGATCAGAGGTGTCCAGATCCCTCTGCCACTCTCTGGAGTCTACTCATGGGCAGGTGAAGAGTACATCCTCACACAGGGCTGACCACTGCGACTGGTCTCATTATTGCAGCTTGGACTCCTGACTTCACAGAGCTGCCAATGGGTTCTGTCCTCTTATCTGGTTTCAGACACTCACCCCATCACCCCTGGTGGCTTGTCTGACTCAGATGGGAGGACAGTTTCCTTGGCTTTTCCCCCTGCCCCATCCTCTGCCCTTGGCCTCAGGGGAACCAATCTCCCATCACTTCTCCTGGGACTTGTCTGCCTGCCCCTGGCTGCATCTGTTACACCTATAGGTCCTGGTGCCCTGCCAGAGGTTTCTGGAGATGCTGGTTGGCCCAGCCTCTTGGGGAAGAAAAGAAGGGCTGACAGAGTGACCTAGGGTGGAGTCCCATCCTGTTTATAGGATTGTGACACTCCTGGGGTTGGCAGATTCACAGTTGGAACTATTTTACTGGGACAGTTCCTGGCACTCAGCTAAGGAGCCCGCATCTTGGCAGGGGCTAGGCCTGGAGTGGAGTTGAAAGGATTGGCATGGAGAGTCTGTCACCTGAGGGACGACCTGACCATCATCACCAGGTAGTGGTATTTGCTGAGCCCATGGGCACCAGTCAGAATAGGGCCAGGGGCCATTGTGCATTCTGAAAGCAGGGTGGCTCTGGCTTCTGTGTAGACTGAGATAGAAGGTGCGAGTGTCTGTGCTTGGGGATGTGGAGTGTGTGAGTTGGTGAGCAGCACCATAGAAGCAGAGGCTTGGCCAGCAGAACCTCCCTTCTCTACCATGAGTGACCAGGCAGGCAGTAGCACCATTGGTCCCTTCTCTTTCTCCTCCCAGATGCATATGCTCCACATCAGAGAACAGTGGCTACATGTTACAAGGGTGAGCTACCAGGCTCAGAGTCTACTGTCTTAGGCCAATGGACTTCCCAGAACTGGCTGGTGCCCTTGGATCACCCTGTGTGTCTTAGATTTTCAGAGAGCCCAAATCCCCATCCACTGCTGATTATTTATTGGGTCCAAGAACTGGGAGGTGGCAGGAGGCCAAAGTGGCCTAGAGACTGCTTGCTCGGCCCCACCATGTGCTTCCCCTCAGTCTAGATCACTCATCTTTTTCCAGGGACCAAGGCCAATAGGATTGGTTCCTCAGGTTTCCCCTTGTAACAGTGATTATAAGGCAGGCTAAATGTGCCAAGGTCATTGTCCAAAATCCTTTGCCTAATTCCCAGACCTTGATGGGCTGCTTCTCACTTTGGTCCTGAGACCCAGGACTGAGTTGTATCTAGACAAATAGCTCCTGACTGGGGCTCCTGGGAAAGACTTGGTCAGGGCAGCCTGGACCCATGGAATCTTGAGTGAGATAGTGAGAGTACCCTATCACTGAACAACAATATCCATTGCTCCATCCTGAGGTCTGGAGGATCTTTCCCCAAGACATGTATCAGTGGAAACATTCTTATGGGGCCTCGGGAACCAAAGTCTTCAGGGTGGAGGTGGGCCCAGTAAGCCCCAACTCCATCACTATTTCCCATCAGGATCCCCATGTCTCAGAACAGCCAGCTATGGAAGTTTCTGAAATGCCATCCTTCCAGCTCATCTCCCCACCCCCCCACCTCATCCCCCCTCCCCACTCACCACCCCATCCCCCAACCTGCTCTGGGTCTAGCCCTAGAGATAAAAGCAAAAGCCCCAGACTAGAGAATCTGGGAGTCTGCCTTATTCCTGGGAAGCACCTTACTTCTTGTTGGTGTTCTTAGGACTGGGTCCGTAAGACCAGGTCCTCAACACACAGGTTGTAAACCCCCTTGGCAAGTGAGACCCAGGCATAGTTTCACTGACCTTTTTCCTGGAATGGGGGGCCTGGAGCCCACACTGGTGGCAGCAGTTTGGCTGGCAGAGAAGGCTGGGAACCAGGAACTTGTTCTGGGACATGCCTCTGTGTGGTCTGGGAGAGTCAACTCAGCATGACTCCGAAAGATATAGGGCCCAGGGCTCTGCCCACAGTGTCCATCATCTGTTCTCCAGCCTCCTTCATATTTCCCCCAGTCACTGAGGTCCAGCAGTTGAAAAGGACAGGACTGCTCATTCTCTATTCTTGCCAAACACTTAGGATTATGGTCACAGATACTAGGCACCCTATTCTGCAAGGGCTCAACCCATTCAAGCTCCCTTGAGCCACACCATCACCATGGGCAGGGGTCAGTGCTGAGCCTCTCACAAAACTTCCTGGCAAACATGGCTCCTGGGCCTTTCTAGGGAGGACCAGTCATTGTAATTATTGTCACAATCTTAGCAATGGTCACAGAGGTGAAGAAAGTTGGGGCTTCACCCAAGGAGAATAACCCCCTGGGGTGTGGGGCTTTCTGAGGTTAAGAAACTTAGTGATTGGAGGAAGAAATGGACAATAATACTAAAATTGGGGATGGTGACTTATTGGCTGGAAATCAAGCAAAGAGGACACTTCTCAGTAGCTCCAAATAGCTTTAGAGCAGCCCACAGGCTGTGGACTTGTGGAGTCTTGGCCTCGCGGAAGGAGCTGGGAAGTGAGGTCTGGCTACCTGTGTCCTTCCTCTGTGTTGGAGTTTCAGCAGGGCCCTAGGATCATCTCAGTCATGACCTTCTCTGTGGCAGGCAAATGGGGAATGGAACCGAGTGTCTAAAATGTCATAAATCCCTTCCAGTTACACCTCTGCCTTAAAGCCCATGGGGTTGAAATGTTGCTGGTGTCACTGGAGTTAAACCCCAAGAAGAGAGAAATGAGTCTACCTTGCTGGGGGATCACATGTGCTCTGCTGAAATGACAGGGACATTCAGCATGGAGTGGGAGAGGGAAGATTCGAGGGCAGGGCCAGAGTCAGGAGATGCTCTGCTGCAGCCCATTGTCCTTTATGGTTCTCTGTGGGAAACAGAGAGTGGGGTCCTCATGGCACAGAGCTAATTCCTAGATGGCAGCATCCATGCAAGGATTAGTTCCTGTGGGCATGGAGACCAGCTTTAGGCAGGAAGTGGGGCCAGTTGTGGAACACAGTCAGGATCCAGCTTTGGTTTCTCCATACCACTGTTTCCCTGCCACCCAATGCCACCTGTTCACATAGAGGTACCATGCTGCATCTGCCTCCCTTGGGTAGGAATAGAAGGGGTGGGAGTGAGGAGATAAGGGTCCTCCTTACTTAGTATAGGTCTACCCTGGTGGCAGAGCCCACTGAGTGGCAGGAGTCTCAGCCTGGGATTTTCTTGACATAGGGAACTTCAGTGGGTTCTCTTTCAGGGCTACCACATTGTACATCTCCAGGGCTTACCATTTCATATGCCTCCATGCGAGTGGTACCCATTGAGGTCCTATTACCTGTGGCCCTGCAGAGTCCCTTCCTGGCTGGGGGCAGACCTGTAGATTCCCCTGGGCAGGTGATGCCCATTCTAAGGGCCTTTCCTGTGTAGACTCTTCCTGCTGAGGTCAAACAGTGAAGAGTTGATTCTCTTGGTCAGACTCCTTATTAGGATGATGCAAGGCCAATGACCTTCCTTGGGGTCAGCCCACAGTCCTGCCAGGCCTGTTTGAATTACCTCAACTTGTGAGGCCTAACAATCAGAGGTCAGTGCAGGGTGCCCAGACATAGGCCGCTGAACACCAGGATAAAGAAACTCGAGATCCCCTAAACCTAGCAGTGCCAGCCTCAGCCGTGCCCTTCTGCCCTCTGCTTTTCTTCTTGCCACCCATTCGCTGCTCATCTTTTTTGCCCCTCCATGTTCTGCCCACTCATTTTCTTTTCCCTCATCACTTGGGCATTTCTTAGGCCCTATGTGGCCTCCTGAGCATCTTCATACACAATGACCCTTCACCCACAACACCTACTTCTCACTGTGCCTGATGCTCTTGGAGTTGCCTAATTCACACCCAAGAAAGCACAGATAGGCTGAGCTCCCTGTTAGTCCCAGTAGATATCACAAGCCACTGGGCTCCAGGTCTCAGCCTCCTTTGAGACACTGGCCTAATTCCTGTCCAGAGGGCTGAGGGCAGGATGCTGGGAGGCAGGTCATGTTCTTCACCAAAGGGCTGTCTTCCCTGGGAGCTCTTGGTGTGGCTAACCCCAAACTGATCAGTGAGGTGGCTGCTCCTTGGCCCTTGCTTTGTCCTCTACACTTGAAATCCTATTCCTAAAGGGAAGAAACGATCCCACAAACTGCCACCAAGGTGGTCTGCTGTTCCCTGTAAGCTGCAATCCAGAACCATTAGCTCCAGGACAATGGTAGACAAAGGTTATCTGGTCCCAAGAGGATGTTTCCAGAAGGTCTGGCAGTCTGGCAGCATCACCAAGTATGGGAAGATTGGTGGGAATGTGTCTGAAGCCAGGGACTTGGGCAGCACAGCAGCTCCTGATTTGAGTAACAGAATGAGCAGGAGAGACTCAGTAGTTTGATATTTCTCTCCAGGGGGAGGCCTCAGCCTGCTGGCAGCTCACTGTGACTGTCCTGGAGGCTCGGCGGCTGCGTGGACATGACCTGTGTGAGTCTCTCCTGGGCTCCCAAGGGTGCAGGGAGGATGGGTCGCCTTGAGAAAGGACCAGACAAGTACCTAAGGGTTGGGCTGAGCAGCCCACAGCAGCCACTGGGGTCTTAGTAGGAATCTGGCAAGGCCCCCTGGAAAAGGATGTGAGGACTTCTCTCTCTTCTGATGGTTCTCTTGACATTGGCAGTGAGTGAGGCAGACCCATATGTGATCCTGCAGCTGCCAACCGTTCCTGGAACAAAGTTCAAGACCAAAACAGTCACCAACTCCAGTCATCCTGTATGGAATGAGACCTTCAGTTTCCTTATCCAGAGTCAGGTCAAGGTAAAGGCGATGGTACTCTTTTTGCCAGTCACCTGCATACAGGCTAGACCCCTCCTCCTGCAGGGAGGGTTCTTGGGGTAAAGCATATCTCCTCCAGAGCTCATGCAGAGAAACTCTGGGAAGGATAGTGTCTTTGTGCCCCAGTCTGTTTGTGCTGTAAGTGAGAGAATGTATGAAAGAATGAACACAGTCCTTCTATCCCCGGCTACAGGATAAACCAGCAAACTGCTGATCCTCTCTAAGCCCATCTATGTTGTGAGACAGTCAGTGCCCCTCCTGAAGGGGTTGCTGTTGGGTTAAAGGAGGCACTGCCTTGTGGACTATATGCACATTGCCTGCAGGCACTTGCCTTAGGTACACAGGGAACCAGAGTGGGGAGAGAGTTTCTTGATAGAATTTGATTTTTTAAAATAAAAACAAAGATTAAGAGGGGGAAATCAGGAACTTTGCTTGAATTCCTTATACTTCTTTTAAGTTTTACAGCTCTATGTGAGCTCTTGGTGCTATGAGTAGATAATATGCTAAGTTGTTCTTTTGCCCCTAGAATGTTCTAGAGCTGAGTATCTGTGATGAAAACTTAATCACGAAGGATGATGTCTGCTTTAGGGTTTTCTATGATGTCTCAGAAGTCCTCCCTGGCAAGCTGCTCAGGAAAACCTTCTCCCTGGATCCCCAGGTGGGTGGGGAGTTCAGGATGAGATCCACTTCTTCTAGCTCCAAACTGAGGAAGTTGTTCAATTCCTCCCACCTAAGGAATGTTGCTAGGTTGAACTCATCTATAGAAAAATGTAAACAATCTCCCAGAAATATTTGCATTTTAGTAGAAAAGGAACCGCTTTAGCTGTGCAGTTGCAGATTGAATTACCCAATTCAGGAGCTTTAGTCATCTGGGAGGAAGGTTTGGGAGGTGAATTTGCTACATCTCTCAAAACACAGCTCAGTGCAACCACCTCAGGGCACCTCCATCACTCCTGCTCATGGAGCCCAGGGCCTGCTCTGTGAAGGTCTTGGGGCTCTTCCTGCAGCAGGCTTGGGATAGGGAAGTGCAAAGTTCCGGGGTCTCCTCAAGAGGAAGAAGAATTAGGCCTGGACATCTTCAATCCTCCTTTGGCCATGTTCCTTGTCTTCCTCTTCAGCCTGGCCTAAAGCTTGGGGACCCAGAAGAGAGGGAGACCTGTTCTACAGACTTACTATTGTAGATTACGTGAGCAAGGAGCCCTTCTTGCCCTATCCTCAGTTTCCTCCCTTGTAAGTTGGAAATAATTGTAAAAGCATGCTCCCCTTAGAGGCTGCTCGAGATGGTTGTCAACTATAATATGTTCCTGACTTGCTCATTCTCTTTGATTTCAGAGACAGGAAGAGTTGGATGTGGAGTTCCTGATAGAAAAAATGTGAGCAATATTTCCAGAGAGTGGCTGAGGACCCCTCTATTCAGGGAAATGGCCCTGACTCAGACCCTCTTGATCTGTCCAGCCCAGTTGCCCCTCATCTCCTCATCCCTTCCAAAGTGGTCCTAGAGAATTGAGGACAGAAAGCCCAAATTTCCCTTGGCCTGCTCTCTCCTCTCACCTTCCATTCTGCAGAGGGCTCTCTCCATCACCCTAAATCTTAGCCAGGATTTAAGAGCCTGCAGCATCACCCTGGGAGAACTCACATGGTGGGGGGGGGGATTCTTGGCGACCAGGGAGAACCAACTCAGGATGCTTTTGCCTTTGCGAGGCCAGACTCTAAATGGTTTGACTTTTCTAGGTCCAGCTATCCAGAAAACCTCATCACCAACAATGTCCTTGTGGTAACCACCTTCCCCGGGCTTAGGAAAGGGGCCCGATAGCAGGGGGCAGGGTGTGGCTGAGAAGGAACAAGGCAGGGGCAGGGCTTGTAGTAGACCATCCCCAGCCTCTCAGCAAGGTGGTCACCTGGGGCCATGTGGCGTGGAGACAGTGGTCACCTGGAGCTAAAGGTCACATGGAGAGTGGGGAGGTGGGCTCTGCTGAGAGGAGGTTTTTGGTCCGATTGAATGGTTGAGGGATTGTAGGGGAAATTTTAGGTACTTTCTGAAGGTGTTTAGTCATGTAATGAACTCCAAGTTCTTAAGACAGAGTCAGAGTTCTTCCCTGGAAGTCCTGGTGAAATCCTGCAAGCCAGGCCCACCTTCAGGTTGTCAATTTTGAGGTCACTGAGATTCAGAGGGAGTTTCCAGTATAGTGTGCTTCCAACCTAGGCAATCAGGGTCAGTCAACTCCTTCTGGAGACCTGGGAGGGTCCTGGTTCCCTCTTTCCCAGCAGCAAGCTCACCAGAGTGCAGTGGACAGGAAGGACCACAAGGTGGCGAGTTCCTCATGAGAAGTTCTCTGCTCTGTGACCTCAGCCTGGCAGCCCTGGAAAGGAACTGGAAGCTAGAGTCCTAGGATCAGAGATGGTGCCTTGGCACAAAATCTAAGGAGGCTCTCACCCTCAAATGTGTGCAAGTGTCAGTTTGATGAATTAGATGACTTTTTTAAAGAGTACACACTAACATGAAGTCATACCTATGGCAACTTCCCATTTTCTGGGTGCCAGAACCCAACAGTGGATTGGTAAATTCAGCAATTCTAGGGAGAGGGCCAATCACAAGGATGGGCAGGGCCATTGCCAGGGTGCTTAATGACAAAATGCCAGGGCAAGTCCCTTCAGTGATGACAGGAGGCATTCTAGTCACTCCTGGGTTCAGTGTTTCTTCATCACCCCACTGGTCATCCCGTGGCCTGTGTCTACATGCGCTACTTGGGAGTTGTTGTAGTGGAAGACAGCCGCCAGGTCAAGGCTGCAGAGAAACAGAGAAGAAGGACCTGTGCCTGGGAGCTGGGGGCTTTCAGGGGTTCCATAATTTCCATAAAGTCAGGAGAGCTGAGGTGGGGTGGAGGTCTCCTGGCTGCTGTGGAACTTCAGGCTGAGCAGTTGCAACAGATCTGAGAGGGAGTGAAAGGCTCCTGTTTCCAGGCTCATGCCAACCCCTCTTTTCGTTAGTGTGTATTGGATTTAAGACAGTGGGGCTTAGAGGGTTGAGGTTGAGGAGGCCTCAGTTTACCCTGCAGAGCTTCTGCCCATGATGTGGTCTGCCCCAGGCCCGAGAGCTGTCATGCCTGAATATCTGCCTGGACAGAGCGGGGAGTACAGCACTGACTGCAGGTAAGATCTGCTCGGAACCAGGTCTGGACTCTGCCGGGAACATGGCACGGAGGAGGGCTGGAGAGGGAGTGTCAGAGAGACAGACACACTGGGAGAACTGCAGAGGGCAGGAGTTGAGCAAGAATAGAGCGTGCCTCTGCCTTCTTGACCACAGGAGGGCAGCGTGTCTCCTCTGGGCGGGAGATGAGCCACTGAACTGAATGAGAACATGTCACAGGATGTGGGAATCCCATGGGGGTTGTGAGGTCCAGCAGGCCCAAGAGGGCCCTTTTCAGAATCCTGCTTACCACGTTCCAGCCTCCTGGACTCTGCCATACCCAACCAGTGTTGCTGGTTTCCCAGGTCCTAGCTGGTTCCAGGCTCTTGTTCCCCATATGCTAACCGCTCACTCTCTCCCTAGGACAGGACAAACTGGAATTGGAGCTGGTGCTGAAGGGGTCATATGAGGACACACAGACATCCACCCTGGGCACAGCCCCTGCCTTCCGCTTCCACTACCTGGCAGCCCAAGATGCAGAGCTGAGTGGGCACCTGAGGGTGGGTCTCCACTCTCCAATTCTCCTGACAACTCCAGCCTTTAGCCAGCTCCAGTTATTCCTGGCCTTCCTCCTGCCAAGGCCAGGCCCCCTGTGACCTTGTCGGCCTTTCCCAGTTAGGCACCCGACCCTTGGAAGACAGTGAGGATTCGCAGGGACTGGAGACTACTACAGCATGTCAGTCTTTGAACCCTCCGGTGACTTTTCTATTTTCTTAGAATAAAATTTGATGTGTAGGTCCACAAGGCCCTGCGCAGCCTGGCCCCTGCCCACCTCTGCTGTCTTATTTTGTTCCATGTTCCCTTTGTTCATGATCCTCCAGCCATACTTGTTTCCTCTTCCTTTCCCAACATGCCACATGCTTTCCCTGTCTTCCTCTGGTTCCATCCAAGGGGGTGGCCTTCTCCACCCTCTCCTCCTCCTTCATATCTCAGTTCAAATTGCACCTCTTCAGAGGATCCCTCCTTGACTCCCCACCTCAAACAGACCCCACGTTTGGTTTACATCATATCACACTGCTTATGTCCTTCACAACACTCATTAACATTAGTTCATTGCCTGTTTCTTTATAAAATTCTAAATATGATTCAGTGAGACCAATGCCTTTGCACTAAATATTATCTATGATGACAATGATGATGATAATGATGATGATTTGGTACCAGGGATTGATTCCAGAGGTGCTTAACCAATGAGCCACATCCATAGGCCTTTTTATTGTTTATTTTGAGTCAGGGTCTTGCTAAGTTGCCGAGACTGATCTCAAACTTGTGATCCTCCTTCCTCGGTCTCCCAAGTCACTGGGATTACAGGCATGCACCACCAAACCCAACTAGCCATGATTATTTTATAAATATTAGTAATTATAATTGTTACTAGTTTTATATTATCAGAGAGGGGCTTAGGCTATCTTGTTTGCAGTTAGATACTCAGAATTATCAAATGAGTGAATGAATGAATGAACAAATGAATGAATATTTCCCTCCAGAGTTCCAGAAGTAGTGGATCGAATTCGGACAACTCATCTGGGCACCTCACTGTGCCCTTGAAGTCCTTGGCCATAGGGAAAGAGGTGACCATCAATGTTCCTACAACAAATGTAAGTTGCCTCAACTGGATTGGAAGTGCCAGTTGAATGAAGTTGAAAGAGCCCAAGACCCCAGGGGATACTATGTCTGGCTCAGGATCTGGGATATTCTAAGCAGGGTCTCTTGCTTTGATTTCAGGCTCCAGGAGTGAGGTTGCAGCTCAAGGCAGACAGCTGGTGAGGGGCATTCAAATCTGTGGGGGCAGTGAGGGGAGGGGAATGCTGTGGATCTTGGGGTTGGAGCAGAGAGATTATTTGGCAGCTCATTGTGGAGATAGTCAAGCAGTAATTGAGCCATGGATGGTTCCTCTGACCCCCGGATCCTGCACTGCTCTAGCCCTAAGGAACTGCCTGTTCGCCTGGGCTTCGATCTGTGTGCTGAGGAAGAGGCCTTCCTGAGCAGGAGGAAGCAAGTGGTGGCCAAGGCCCTGAAGCAGGCCCTGCAGTTGGACAGAGACCTGCAGGAGGATGAGGTTTGGGGGTATAGGAGAGATGTGGATGCACATACTCTGGACTGGCCTTAAAGTAGTACCTGATTCCTATGCCCCCTACAGATAATCCAGTACTAGAGAATGGATAGTGCGGGTGTGGGGGGAGATGTGGGCCATGCCTAAGTGCCAGGGTTCTTGCTCCATAGGACTCTGACCTGGGCTGAAAGCTGTCCCTTCTTGGGTAAGGGTTTGTCCTAGCTCTAACCCTGACTCCAGTGGTCCATGAACACAAGGCCCCCTCCCTGAAGACAGGGAGCAGGGTGGATTCCTGGGTAAGGAAGGAGGCACATCATCCTTGTTGTTGTTAAACTAATCTATATCTCTGTTCCAGGTCCCTGTTGTGGGCATCATGGCTGAAGGAGGAGGGACCCGTGCCATGACCTCCCTCTACGGCCACCTATTGGCTCTGCAGAAGCTGGGTCTCCTGGACTGTGTGACCTACCTCAGTGGCATATCAGGTGCTACATGGTAAGTGCAATGGGGGCTGGAACAGCAGAGGTGGCCAGGTCCCAGAGGGAGGCTGAGTGGATGCTAGAGGAGTCTTTTTGTTGTTGTTGTTGTTTTGTAGTTGTAGATGGATACAATACCTTTATTTTATTTATTTATTTTTATGTGGTGCTGAGGATCCAACCCAGTGCCTTACACGTGCCGGGAAAATGCCCTGCCACTGAGCTACTATCCCAGCCCCCAGAAGTAGCCTATATATGGGAATGCCAAGTGGGTATGAGTAGTATGATCATCAGTAGTAAGATGTGACAGGGATCGCTCAGCTTTTTTAAAAGGTAGAGACAGATGTATATGGAAGTGCTGCCATGTGGCGGAGGGAGATGCAGGAGGCCCCTCCTAGATGCTACCAAGGCACTGGAAGGTTGCTGATCCAGTAGGAGCTGGGTTTGATCTTGGCAATCCCACATACAGGCTTGGGCACCCTTGAACAACTTCTTTCTTCTTATTCTTAGTTGGCTTAGTCCAAAATGGGTGTGCATATGCCATAGAATTGGAATAGACAGCCATGTAAAACATTTAACCTAATGCTTGACACATGCCAGGAGCTCCAAGTTGGTGGATCTTTTTTAGGTTTCATAGTTATTACCTGGGTTAGTGCACATAACACTTTTTGAGGTAGTTTCTCTTCTTGCTCATATGTGATAGAGATGAGAAAACTGAGGTTAAGAGATGCTGTTTGACCTGAAGATAGCATTGTCTCCCTGACCCCTCATCCTTCCTATGATGTTAGAAGTTCACCTCCTTGAGTCTCATTAAAATATGACTTTGAGGGCCTGGGGTTGTGGCTCTGAGGTAGAGCACTTGCCTAGCATGCATGAGGCACTGGGTTCGATCCTCAGCACCACTTAAAAATAAAATAAAGGTATTGTGTCCATCCACAACTAAAAAAGAAAAAGAAATGTGACTTTGAGGAGGAAAATAGGAATAAACTTCCGGGGAGTTTAGATGACAGCTGTTGACAAGCAAATTCTCAAAGGGCTTGAGGATAGGTCTGAAGATGGGAGGGGTGTCTAGTGCTGACCAACATGGTAGTCACTAGCCATATATGGTTATTGACTTCTTGAAATACGCCTGGTTCAAATTAGGATGTTTGGGCTGTGGATGTAGCTCAGTGGTAGAAACCTTGCCTCACATGTGAGTAGGCCCCTGGTTCAATCCCTAGTTCCACAGAAACAGAAAACATTTCATATTTGTAACACATCCAAAATTTGGATGTGTTACAAATATAAAATATATACTGCATTTGAAGATTTGTCTTGAAAAAACATAAATTATATAAATAACTTATCCATAATCAACTTACACTTTGAAATAATACTTTTTGCATATATTGAATTATTAAAATTAATTTTTACTGGTTTATTTATACTTTTTTAGTGTGGTTACTAGGAAATTTAAAACTACCTATGGGGTTGGGATGTGGCTCAGTGGTAAAGTGCTTACTTGGCATGTGCGAAACTCTGGGTTCCATCATCAGCCAGCACTATAAAAGAAAAAAGATAAAGAAAGAAAGAAGAAATGTTAATTAATTACATATGTATCGTTCACGTCATATTAATATTCATTATCATTGATCTAGAAGAAGAGAAATCCCTGATAATACATTTCCAAATTTGCAGATCCTTGGCAGTAGGAGCAAGGTGCTGGGAGTATATAGAGGGTGGGAAGGAAGAGCTGTAGTGCCCCATTCTGGGTCCCAGCATTGTCTTGCCCCTCGTTCTCCTAGGGCGATGGCCCACCTGTACTGGGATCCTGAGTGGTCGCAAAAGGACCTTGAGGGACCCATCAGCCATGTCCGGGAACATCTGACCAAGAGCAAGCTGTCAGCCTTCTCCCCAGAGCGCCTGGAGATCTATCGCAGAGAGCTGCAGCTGCGGGCTGAGCAGGGCCACTCCACCACAATTGTGGACCTGTGGGCCCTGGTGCTGGAGTCCATGCTGCATGGCCAGGTAGAGCACATGCCCAGATGGGCAGAGTGGGTGCGGGCATTTCTTTTTTTTTTAATATTTATTTTTTAGTTGTGGTTAGACACAATACCTTTATTTTATTTATTTATTTTTATGTGGTGCTGAGGATCGAACCTAGGGCCTTGCATATGCTAGGCGAGTACTGTACCACTGAGTCACAACCCCAACCCGGGATGTGGGCATTTCTTAAAGAATCTGGGAATCACACCCTGTGTCAGTATCTTTTCAACTTTGGAATGCTACCTTTCTGAGTTAGACTTTTCTTCAATTAACTGCCATGTAGCAGAAATTTCTGGACCTCCTAAGGTCTGGGGATAAGTCAGGGTCAGTTAAGCAAACAAAACTTTTGCATTGTTTTGAGACAATAAGATTTCTAGAACCACTTTTTAAAAATTTATACTGCAATATGAAATGTTATCATTTTTCCTTATCTTCAGATAGAGTTAAAAGCACAGACTTTTGAACCAGATTCCCTGGGTTCTAATTTAAGTGTATTTTACTTTCTGTGTATCATTAGGCAAATCACTTAACCTCTGTCTGTTTTCTCTGTACAGTGGAAATGAGAACAGTATTTTTTCTCTTGGGTGTGTTGTGAGCACTCAATGGCATCTTGGCATAAAGTAAGCACTAAAGGGTTAGCTCTTATATGTCTTTACTAGTATCCTAACAACATCAAGACAAAACTGAACATATAAATTTTGGACCACAATGTTTCTTCCAGAAGAATTTAATAAGTTAACTGCTGGATCTCGCATTAACTGATACAATTATTAAAATTTAATTATTCTTTTACATTCCTGTTTTATCACATATAATTATCTGAAAAAAGTTTCAAATGGACTAGAAACAACTAAAAGACAAAAGTGTCTTTTAATATGCAAAACAAAAAGTAAACTGACTGGGGACAGGCGCCTGTAGAGCCTGGGCTTAGCATGCACAAGGCCCTCGGGATCAATTGCCAGCACCACAGAAGAAAAGGGAACTGTCAAGGATATTAATAGCAGAAAGAAGGAAATGAAGTCACTTCAATTTTTTTCTTTAAATTTTATTCTCAGCGGCAAGCACAATGTTGCTTAGAAACTACAAACCATTCTTTTGTTATTTTAAAAAATATTTAGTATGCAAATATCAATATTTATATAAATATTTATTATTTAAGTCTTCACACCTAAGAAAATGAAGGAAGCACAGAACAATATAATGAATATGCAGGATCTTACCAACCAACCTAAGAAATGAAATGTTACAGATAGAGTTGAAACCCCATGTCCCCTCCCCCATCCCATTTCCCTCCCACACCATCACGTCATCACATGCATATCTATAGTTCATATACTTTAGTCTATTATATAATCACATATATTTAATATACTTTTATTATACATTCTTTTATTACATATGACTTTAATACATGTACCCTTAAGAAAGCACAATATTATTTGAGTGAACAACTGTGTACAAGAATCCTTATACAGATATGTTAGAGATTCTCTAAGACTCTAAGATATATATCCAGCAGTTGAACTATAGAAACATTGAGTCTGTATACCTTCATCTCTCCTAGCTGTGCTAGATTGTTCTACAAAAGAGTGGTTTTAATTCATAGCCCCACTATCTGTGTATATTAGTTCCGTTTTCTCTACCTCTTCTTCAGACTTAGATTTTTTTTTTTTTCATCTATGGGTGTAAAAGCAAACTTCAGTGTACTTTTGCATTTGCTTGACTTTTAGTGATACATCATATTTTCAAGTCTATTTATCATTTGGGTTCCTCTTCCATAAATTGTCTCCTAAAATCCTTTTCCAATTTTCTATTTTTAATATCATCTTTAGAATTTTTTCAGTATTCTGGATATTAATATTCTTCCATATTTTTGGGGGGGGGGTACTGGATTTGAACCCAGGAGACTTTACTACTGAGCCACATCCCTAACCCTTTTAATTTTATTTGGAGACAGGGTCTCACTAAGTTGTCCAGGGTTGACCTAAACTTATGATCCTCCTGCCTCAGGCTCCCAAGTGGCTAGGATTACAGGCATGTGCTGCCACATCTGGCCTAATATAAGTTTTGAAGATCTGTTTCTTACAAATAGGACTTGAATTCAACCAAAATTTAAGTGTTATAGGGACAGGGCCCACTTTATTTCAGATGGATCCAAACACCCCCAGTTTTGTGTACTGATTTTTCCCCTCCCATCATTGGCATTAAGACTTCTATCACATCGGGTTCCTATAATCATAGGACTCGTCCTGAGCTCTCTATTCCATTCTCATAGGACTTATTATCTATCCCTATGCCAATAGCACCCTGACTCAACTATTGTAACTTTCTGATAAATCTTGGTATTTACTAGGGAAAATTTACCCCTGGCACCTTGGTTTTTCTTTAGAATTATCTTGGCTACCCTTGGCCCTTTGCTCTTATTACTACATAAAATAAATAGTTAATCAAGTTTTATGATAAATGTTGCTGGGATTTTGGTTGACACAGCATTGGATTTATAACACCAAAATAATTACTTGAAATATTTTTTATTTTATTAATATTCTATGTCTTCTTTGGATCTATTGTTTAAGATTCATATTCAGATTTTTGTTTTGTTTTGTTTTTATTGTGTGTGCTGGGGATTAAGCCCAAGGCCTCATGTATGCCAGGCAAGCATTCTACCACTGAGCCACATCCCCAGCCCTTATTTATTTATTTTAAATTTTGAGATAGGGTATCGTTGAGTTGCTTAGGGTCTCGCTAAGTTGCTGAGGCTGGATTTGAACTTGTGATCCCCCTGCCTCGGTCTCCCCAGCTGCTGGGATTATAGGAGTGTACCAATGCACTCAGCTTCCCAGTTCTATTTATTTATTAATTAATTTATTTTGGGATGGAGTCTCGTTAAGTTGCCCAGGCTGGCCTTAAACTTGTGATCCTCCTACCTTAACTTCCCAAGTAGCTGAGATTTCAGGTGTGCACCCCTGCTCCCACTCATATTCAGCTTTGAAGGTTTTTTTTTTGTTTTGTTTTAACTTTTTTTTTTTAGTTGTAGGTGGACATAATACCTTATTTTATTTATTTGTACATGGTGCTGAGGATCGAATCCAGTGCCTCACACATGTTAAGCAACTGCTCTACCACTGAGCTATAACCCAGCCCTGAAGGTGTTTTATTGACTGAATTTTCTGCCTGCTGGCAACAACTAGTTACTATAATGAGGAGAAGCTTGTTTTAACAGCTCACTTCACAAGGGGCTAGGAAATTTAGTATGATCCCAGGCTATAAAGAGGATTTCTACTTAATCACCACTTGATCCTCTAGCAATGTCTTAATGTGTGGTTTTATGTAAAAGGTTTATAGTCATTTTCAAAAAGACAAAATTTATTTCATTCTTTATTGTTCACAAGAATAAAAACCCCTGTGACATTATTGACCATGTATGTATTTTTTGAAATGAGCACCTATGCTGCTTAAAATTTTGTCCCCATATAAAAGTTTTTCAATTTATTGTTTCCTTTATTTTCTTAGCTATCATGTTTTACCTCTTAATGATAATTTATTATAATATATTCTTGTTTGTTTGTTTTGGTACTGGGGATTGAACCCAGGGGTGTTTTACCACTGAGTCACATCCCAGCCCTTTTTACTTTTTATTTTCAGACAGAGTTTCACTAAGTTGCTTAGGGCCTCACTAAATTACTGAGGCTAGCCTCAAATTTGTGATCCCCCTGCCTCAGATTCCTGAGTTGCTGGGATTATAGATATGTACCACCATGTCCAGCCATTTATGATTCTTAAAATAATGTTTTATTCAGACAATTTTAGCATTGATTTCTAATTTTTATAAGTCTTTAGAGAAAGGCAGTTATTTATTACCTCTATAATATACTAATCTAAGTATGAGAAGTCATTGTGAAATATCAGAAAAACTTCTTTCAAGACAAATCCCAATTTCATTAATATCAAGTATTATTAGGGAAGTATCATATCTTGAAACATTACTCAGAATGAACTTGTCATTCTACTTATGTCTAAAATATTGGTTCAGTTCTTAACAATCTACTACAAAAATGTACCAGTTATGCTGGGGGTGTAGCTCAGAGGTAGAGTGCTCGCCTAGTATGTGCAAAGCCAGACTTTGTTACCTAGTCCACCCCCGACACACACATACCAGTTATAATCAGTGCATTTCAAACTAGTTATATGTGTGTGTGTAGGGGGGTACTGGGGATTGAATCCAGGGGTTCTATACCACTGAGCTGCATCCCCAGCCCCTTTTATCTTTTATTTTAAGACAGGATTTTGCTAAGTTACTTAGGACCTTGCCAAATTGCTGAGGTTTTCCTTGGACTTGCAATCCTCCTGTCTCAGCCTCCCGAGTTGCCGGATTACAGGTGTGTGCCCTCATTCAAACTACCTCTTTAGATTTTTTTCCTTTATTTTTTGCTGGCAAGTCTTGAACTGCTTAGAAGCTTCTTACCATTCTAAAGGAGAAACTCCTAGTTTTTCTCCTATCTTCTCCTGAGTGAAGAGGTTTTTACATATTTTTCTGCAATCCTCAACAAAAAATTTTACACACCCTTTAGTTTACTATGTACACTGCCTGAACCAGATCAACATATTACCAAGCACCACCATTTCCAGTGGGTACCTTGAGTTGTCAGAATGATGTTCTGCAGCATTGGGGATACTTACTTGGAAACTATGGGGCTAGAGACCAAAAATCCTATGCAGCTTAGTTGTAACTATCACAGGGTATCCTTGGTGCTGTTTTAGTAGGTGTAAGGGTTGCTTACCCTTTCCCAAAACTTTCTCTAGGGCAGAAATTGTGAAACTGTAGTAAAAAGCCATTCCCCCCCTCATTATACATATAAAAAGAGCAATAAACAGTATCGCTAAATAAAAAGACATTAAGCTGGCAAGAATGTGCATGCCTGAAATCTCAGCCTCAGGAGGCTAAGGTAGGAGTATCTAAAGTTTAAGTCTCAGCAACTTAGAAAGACCCTTCCTCAAAATAAAAAATAGAAAGAGTTGGGGATATAGTTTAGTAGTAAAGCACCTCTGGGTTCAAAACTCAATACTATAAATAAATAGATAGACATTGAAGCTGATGCTGCTACACAGCTAGACCCCAGCTACTCAGGAGGCTAAGGCAAGAGGATTGAAATTTGGAGGTCATCCTGGGAAACTTGGTAAGACCCTGTCTCAAAATCAAATTTGAAAAAAGATTGGGGATGTAGCTCAGTGGTGGTAGTAGAACACTTGCCTTGTATGTACAAGGCCTTGAGTTCAATTCCCAGTATTGCAAAACAAAAAAGACATTGAGAAGGGAAATTGCTGATGTTAGTCAACTCTTACCCTCCCAATCACCTGGACACATTCACTCTGCAGCACTGACTTATTGATGTTGTTGAGATAACATCACCTACAGCAGGAGCTCAGGCCCTGTTTGGGGATTGTTCTGTGGATTCCCTCTATAACTCAAGTTATATTGGGTACCACTGAAGAACTGGGGGAAAGATGCATGAGTTGACACATGAGTGCTCTTGTCAAGTGACAGAGGACTATCAGGAAGGAGGAAAGACACTACTTGAGCTAGATTTTTGCCACACTTATGGGAAGGGGACTTCTTATTGGGTAGGCTGGGCTAGACTCTTGGGACTCAATCTCACTGATCATCAGAATCCCTTGGGGAGGTTTTTTAAAAAGATAAATTCTGAAGTGACTTCTGATAGACTGATTCTCATACAGGCCCGTCAAGCTATGTGTTTAACCTGCTTTATAAGTAAATTTGGATATAAGGGCTGGTATGGTAGGTTGGGAGCTTCTTAGGTCTCAACACCCTTCTACACTAAAAAGCCTAAGGCAGGGATGACATGTGCCATCCTGTCCAAAACAGCCCAGGGCCAACAGCCCCGGCCTCATCTGTGGCAGCACCATTCTTGTCAAGGCAGGGTTCTGGGCAGCTGCCACCATTCACCTTTCACCTTGAGGGAGTTTGAGAGGAGCCCCATGTACATCTCTGAATAGAATGTGAACTTTCTGTATCCCTAGAACTCAAGGAGGCTCTGTGGGGGCTCCCCCCCAAAAGCAAGCCATGGTCTTTGCCATCAGTGACAGAGCTTGGCATTTTATTAAAGAGAGGGTTAGAAACAGAAGGCAGGAATAAACCACAGGGTACAACCTCATGCTGTGCAAACAAAGCAGGAGAGGAGGAGGAGGAGGAAGAGGAGGAGGAGGAGGAGGCAGGAATGCCAGGAAAATATCTGGGAAGGGCTGAAACTTGAACCCTAAAAGGGCAGCAAGTCCCCTGGCATAGCTCAGTGTGTACTAAAAGAGGATTGCGGTGTGCTTTCTGGAAAGCAATGTGTGCATGCATACATGTGTGTGTCTTTGTGTCAGTATTCACTTCTGCTCCATTCATAAATCCATAAAGATCAGGAGGCACAGGGTGTGGGGAGAAGGACGGTTGTCATTGTAGTCTTCCGGGAACGGCCCTCCTGGGAGATAGGCAGTACACAACCTGCAGAGCCCTACATGGCCACCTTGCATATGGGCCTGATGAGGACATGGGGACAGGAATGGGAACTGGGTGCACATACCCACCATTCCTCCCAAATCCCAGTGAAGCAGCCACCTCCTCACCCCCAGCCTGTGTTCCTGTCCTGCCCTTGTCCTGGTAGAGTTGCTGCTTTCAGGGTGCTCCCACCCTCACTTGGGTCCTCATGTCCTCCAATCCCAGGTTGTGGATCAGAAGCTGTCAGGACAGAGAACAGCACTGGAGCGGGGTCAGAACCCTCTACCTCTTTACTTGAGCCTCAATGTCAAAGAGAACAATCTGGATACCTTCGAATTCAAGGGTACAGTCCTATTCACTCCATCCTCCAACACTCACACTCCCCAAATCCTCTGCACCCTGAGAATCCCCAGAGAATTCAATCTAGAAACTTCTGTGCAGATTGTACCAGCCTCTGGAAGGGTGGTGGTGCTAGTAGGCCCAAGAGTCTGCCTGGGGTGCTCCCTGGCCTTGGGTGTTTGAACATGCAGATGGGGTAGGATGGGGCCGGTTAACCTAGGAGTCTGCATTCCTCATGTTTCCTGAGTTGGTGCCAGTCAGGAGGAAGGCTGAGGCATGCCAAGGGGCAATATCTTTGACCCCTGCCAGAACTCGGCCTCCCTCAACCCACACAATTCATATTTCTGCCTCTCCTTCCTGCCACATTAGAGTGGGTTGAGTTCTCCCCCTATGAGGTCGGATTCCTGAAGTATGGAGGTTTTATCCCTCCTGAGCTCTTTGGTTCCAAGTTCTTCATGGGGCAACTGATGAAGAGGCTCCCTGAGTCCCAGATCTGCTTTCTAGAAGGTAAGGAATGGTCACTCTGCAGGTTTCTTCCTGGACATGAATCCTGCAGCTCAGGTCTGGGCAGAGCCCCAGGGTGAGGGGCAGGGGTTGGGCAGTGGGGAAGAAAAGCCATTGGAAGAAAAGCCTTTTTCCAGATCCCATTTTCCATCTGCACTCAAGAGTGCGGACCGCTGGCTTCCAGGTGGAAAAGACAGGGAGCAGGTGCCTAAAAGCTAACCTCTCTGTGGGTTTGGTCTTCAGGTATCTGGAGCAATATTTTTTCCCTAAACTTGCTGGACACCTGGTATGGCCTCACCTGCTCTGAGGGGGACTGGAAGCAGCACATTAAGGACAAGATCCAGAATGTAGGTAGGAGAGGGGACACTGAGGGAAGCCCAGGATGAGGCTGCTTCCCTTTAGATATGGTTGAGGGGATGGAGTGCCTTGGGGGAAGAAGAGCTGGACATTTCCAGGCCTCTCAGCGGAGTAATGTTTGTTCCTCTGGCTGCAGAGAAGGCACCTGTAGCCTCCTCTGCAACCTCCTCATGGATGGAGTCCTCCTGGCTGAAGTCTGGATCAGCACTGGCCCAGGCATTTAAGGGCTTCCTGACTAACAGGCCACTCCACCAGTGTGAGGCCAACTTCCTCCATGGCCTCCAGCTGCACCGGGACTACTGCAACCAGAAAGGCTTCTCCACCTGGTCAGGTAAGGGACATAACAAAGTTGGACTCCTGGGTGAGGATGGGCCATGGTTGTTGACTGAAAGATGCTTGGGGGTCACAGCATCCACTTCTGGTCTGTAGTCTGGAGAAGATCCCATTGAGAGGTCTTGGGAAAGGCTGGGGTGGCATGTGCATTCAGGGAGTGACACCAGATATAAGGAAGGGACGTGGAGGTGAATGTTGTTGGTGGGCTACTGTAGCAGGGTGGCTGCCTCTGACTGTCACTGCCTTTCTCACCAGACTTCCAGCTAGACCCCATCCCCAGTCGACTGACCCCCCAGGAACCCCAGCTCTGCCTGGTGGACCCGGCCTACTTCATCAACACCAGCTTTCCTTCCTTACTCCGGCCCGGTCGCAAGATGGACCTCATACTCTCCTTCAACTGCTCCCTAAACTCACCCTTCGAGGTGCTTCTGGTTGCCCCCTGGGGACCCAAGACCCTTTGTCCAACCAAGCCAAGATCCAGGGGCAAGCAGCAAGGCCATTGAGCTACTGCCCTACACCAAGGAAGGGAGAGGTAGCAAGCTGTAACCCACAAGTCCTTCCAGGGTCCTGAGTGGGGAAGGACTGCAGTGGTGATGGGGTCCTGGGCTCCCAGGACGCCTGCATGGGTCAAATATCACCACACCAAAGAAAAATAACTGGACAGAGCTAGGAGGAGACACTGGGCATCTCCACATGCAACCCCACCTCCCCTGGGGACTTGGTAATGCTGGTATGCATATGTAGGTCACCTACTGAAGTCCTCTAGGCTCTGGGACTTGAATAATCCAACAGTAGCAATCCAAATGGAGGTAGAAGATGCTGGGTCTACATCCCACCCAAAGATTTGAACCCCTAGAATCCTCAGACTCTCTCTGAGGCACATGCAGCTTAGCTGGGCCATGAGCAGGACAGAACCAGCTGGATGACTGGTGATGTGGGTTGATGGGTTCTCTGAGCTGCCCTCTGTTCCTCCAGGCGCTGCAGCAGTCGGAGCTGTACTGCAAGGCCCGGGGGCTGCCCTTCCCCCATGTGGAGCTCAGCCCTGAGGACCAACTCCAACCCAAAGAGTGTTACCTCTTCTCAGACCCCACCTGCCCCGAGGCCCCTGTCTTGCTGCATTTCCCACTGGTCAATGTTTCCTTCAAGGACTACTCAGCTCCTGGTGAGATGGCCTTTCCTCTACCAGCCAAGCAGCCTGGCCCCTTGAGGCCCTGCCCCAGTCACCAGGGGAGAGGGAAGAAAGTCTGCCCTGAAAAGGCTCAAGGCCTTGGATAGATACCTCTGGCCTTGGTGGCTGACACTCACATCCCCGCAGCATCCTCATGTCACTGTGCAGGTTTCCTTAGAGTCATGACCCCAGGCTCCTTTAGCCTCCTCTTCCCCCAGTACCTATAGATACCCCTGAACTCCTCTAGTCCTGCTCCGGGCAGTAGCTGGGAGCATAGGTCACTTGTCCTCTTTTTTATGCTGGGCAGCCCAGGCTGAGGCCCTTTCTCAGGAAACTGGGCTTCTTCTCCTCAATGGCCTCCAAATCTAAACACTTATCACACTTTTATTTCCTCCTCCCATCAACTTGTCAGAGTTTATTTCCTTTGGGTGGGAAAATCAAATTTCTGTCTCAGTGGGTTATACCCAAATTTTTAGTTCCCACCATAATTCTAAATCTCCCAGCTTTATTCTTAACATGTTCAGCCCACATCTTGGAATTCTAGAGAAATTTTCTCTCTCAACAAAGGCTGGTTCTTACAAAGCCAAAGCTCTATTAGTTTCCACCATTTTTTAACCTAATTGACTTTCTCGTTCTGGCTGTTTCCACCTTACCCAGAAGCAACACAGAGCTGTACTGTGGAGCTGCCTGAATAGTGGAAGAAGTGTCATGCTACAGAGAATTTGGGAGCAGGAAACTCCTCATACTTAAAAATAGCATTCTACCATTTACATTGATATTTTTGGGCAAAAGGCACAGAGAACTGGGGAAAAAGCAGCCCTCCACTATATCCTATTCAAGGCTTAGTTCTGGCCAGCTGTAAAGGCCTCTGGTCCTTCTCCTGATGCCCCTTCTACCCCTGGGCAGGTGTCAAGCGCAGCCCTGCAGAGATCCCTGCTGGCCAAGTGGATGTCACCAAGGACACCTCCCCCTATGCCCTGTGCAACATGACCTACAAGAAGGAAGACTTCGATGGTCTGCTGAGGCTCAGTGACTACAATGTGCAGAACAGCCAGGCTGCCATCCTGCAGGCCTTGAGGACTGTTCTGAAGCGCAGGGCCCCTGAGGCCAGGCCTTCAAACGCACAGATGTAAGACTGCTCAGGAACTCCAAGACTCTGAGGGCTACATTCTGACCCTCTGAAGGCTGGGAGCTTAACCCAGTCTGCAAGCTGGGCGTAGCCACAGCTCTCTGGCTGAAGTTCTCAGCTCTCCTAGGCCGGGGCTACCTCACTCAGGTCCTGTTCAGGGCAGGCTGCATCCCACCCACCATTCTCCCTCATGTTCACAGCTAGCTCAAGAGGAAGTAGAAAGAAACTCTACTAGGCCAGTGTGTAGAGGAGCTGGTCATACCAGACAAGCTTTCACAAGTAGTTACTTTAATTCCTGAGCAGGATGGATTTGGGATGGCTTTAGGCACTAGGAATCAATCTCTCTCTCTCTCCCTCCCTCCCCACCCGCCCCTCTCTCTCACACACACACACACACACCTGCCCCCTCCCATTCAGTATAAAGTCTTGCACTCATTCAAGTTTATTCTTAAGTATTTTATTATTGATGGATTACAAATAGAACTGTCTACTTCATTTCTTTTTCAGATTGTTCATTGCTATGCTCTAGAAGCACATTTCATTTTTGTATATTGATTTTGTATTTTGTAATCCTGCTGAACTTGCTTCCTAGCTCTCATACTTTCTTATATTCCTTAGAACTTTCCATGTCATCTGCAAATGGAGAAGGTTTCACTTCTTCTTTTTTTCTGATCTGAATGCCTTTTATTATTATTTTTCTTTCCTAAATGACTGGAACCTCCAGCAGTATTGAATGAATGTGGCAGGAACAGACATTCTTGTTTTGTTCCTGATATGGGATGAAGGCATTAAGTCTTTCACCATTTAGCTGTGGGTTTTTCTTACAAGTTCTTTATCAGATGGAGAATTTTCCCTTATATTTCTAATTTGTTGAGTGAGGTTTTTTTTAATTATGAAAGGTATGAAATTTTGTCAAGTGATTTTTTTGTGTGTCTGTTGAGATAACCATGTGAGTTTTGTCTTATATTCTATTCTTTTTCCAATCTTTTTTTTTTTTTTTTTTTTTTGTGGTGCAGGGGATTGAACCCAGGGCCTTGTGCATGTGAGGCAAGCACTCTACCAACTGAGCTATATCCCCAATCCTCACAAATTAATTTTTAACAACACTGATAGAATTTATTGGCATTTGTGTTTTATTTTATGCAAGACATTTTATGTTATTTCTCTTCATTCTTCCAGCTGCCTAATATGTTAGGCAGTGTTATTATCTCCATGTTATCAGTGATGAAATTCAGGAGTGAAAAAGGAAGAGAAGCTTCTTCTTACTTGGTCTGCTGGGAGCTGAACTGGCCGTGGCTGCTGGCCATGGTACCCTCCTGATGAACAAAAGTACTTTCTAAGAGCACCAATGTCTTACAGGGTCACCATACAATAATGACAGAGCAAGAAAGAGGCAAGATCACTCCATAAATATGTCTGAACATGGACAAAACCAAGCTCACCATGAAACCATAAAAATGGCTCAACATTTCTGAGCATTTGCATTTTTCCCATTTAATTTTCACAACAGCCCAGTGAAGCTAAGTACTCTTCCGAGGAATTAGGTTCTGAGGTTGGAGGTGGCAAAATCACTTGCTCAAGGGCACAAAGCCAGCAGGAGTGGAGCCAGGATCCAAACCCAGGCCACCTGCCTGCAGAAGTCACAAGCTAGGCTCCACATGTGCTAACAAAGCCCACTTTTATAGGTAGGACAAGTCCTTGATAAACCTCAACGCCAATGCAGAGCGCTGGTAGTCACTGGACTGGCCAATGTGTCATAAGTCAGGAGGCCTAAAGAATTTCTTGTCTTCTTATGGAATCTAGGACAACTGGATCTATGGTGAATTGGGTCCAACTTACTAAATTTTAGAGTAAAAATCAACTTACTTTGGACTGAGGTGATACTTAAGATGGGGAAATTTCAATATAAAAATGGAGAAGGTCCTGGGCACACTGGGACAAGTTAGTCATCTCACTTAACATCTGGCATTGAGCAGGGAAGCAGAGACAGAGAACTGTCTGTCCTGACTCTGCCCAGGCAGAGGAAGATGGAGAAAACACCAGATGGCTCTTGGCCTTAGGTGTGTTATCCCACCCACCAGGACTATTGACCCAGTCAAGGTTTTGTGTTTCTACTAGTCAGAAAAACAACTTATCCCCTTGCATGGGGGAAAGGGGGTCATAAGTATTTGCATTCCAGCAAAGAGCCCCAGGTGAGAGTGTGAGCTTTCCCTTGACTACAGCCTTCCTTGGGGAGGGGGCTGGTCTGTGGGGGATGAACTGGAGGGAGCACTGAACAGCTAGGAATAACCACTCAGAAAAGACAGAAGACATCATTGTGGGAGAAGGCTGGAGTTCAACCTGGCTCTGTCTGTGATCATTGAACTTCTTTTACCCTCTTTCCCATCTGTAAAAGGAGATGTTGAGATGGCTCTGTGCCCTTGAGCAAGTGATTTTGCCATCTCCAACCTCAGAACCTTTTAGAGATGCTGGAAGGATTACACAGGCTACTAATGGTGAAGAATTTGACATAATACCCTGTACATAGTAGGTGCTGATAAATGGTAGTTGTTATTTTAAAATTTATATAATTATTTTAGAAATGAGCCTGTATCCTGATTGGATACATCCCCATGGAGATGGAGCACTTCTTTTTAAATATATATTTTTATTTGTCCTAATTAGCTATACATGACACTAGAATGAATTTTGACACATCATGGATAAATGGAGTATAACTTCTCGTTCATCTGGTTGTACATGATGTAGTTACACTGATAATCTAATCATATATGCACATAGACTAATAATGTCTGATTCATTCTACCCCCGTACCCCCTCTTCTCCCTTCACTCTCCTCTGTCTAGTCCAAAATACTTCTATTCTTGATATGTAACATTTTATGCACATAAAAAATCCCAGTTTAAACTGCCCCTGGGAAGGGAGGGGGTATAGGAATAGGAAAGACAGCAGAATGAATTTAACTTGCCTTTCCTATGTACATATATGAATACACCACAGTGAATCTCCATATCATGTACATTCCCAAGACTGGTATCAAAATTAGAGTAAGACATAATTAATTTTTGTAAAAATATGTCAAAATATACTCTACTGTCATGTATCACTGATAACAAGTTAAAAAGGGGGAATAAAAAAAACCCCTGCAATTAATTAAATTAAAGTGCAAGTCAGATGTCTACCACCAGGGGGCATGTTATAATGCCACGGCTGCCAAGACAGTTTGCCTGGCTGGGCCACAGTGGCCCAGTGGGGTACAATGGGCCCTACCAGCACAAAGCATGTTTGTTATTCTGTAAACCTTTTCATAAAATATGCTTTGAAACTCATGTGGTGATCTTATACATTAATTAGCAACTAGCATTTATAGGTATATTCAATGAAGGACATAATTTAGAGCAAAATTCAAAGTCCTAAGCACCTAAGTGAAGTCTCTCTCAGCACTTTCACACTCCAGTGGCACTTGGGATTTCCCTCTCCATGGCTAGGATGTCCATCAACAGCAAAATGGATAAATAAATTTTGGTGTATTCATGTAATGGAATACTAAGTAGATATGGAAACAAACACTGCATCACACACAACATTAAACATAAAACTGACTGTATAGGCCAGATATAAAAGAATAATACTGAGCCAGTGCAGTGACACAGGCCTGTAATCCCAGTGACTTGGGAAGCTGAGGCAAGAGGATTACAAACAAATTAGAGACCAGCCTTGGCAACTTAGTGAGACTCTGTCTCAAGGTAAAAAATAAAAAGAGATGGGAACATAGCTCAGTGGTAGAATGCCACTGGGTTCAATTCCCCGTACTGAAAAAAGAAGGAGGAGGACTGATAATACCAAATGACTGCATTTACATAAAGTTCCAAAACTGATCAGAATAATTATGTTAGAAATCAGGATGGTGTTTGCCCTGAGGAGAGCTATGATTGGAGGAAAGTACAGAAGGGTTCTCAGGTACTGGAATGTTCTATTTCATGATCAGGGTGTTGGTTACACAGGTGTGTGTAACAGTGTCTTGGTCTGTTTCCTATTGCTCCAATGGAATACGTGATACTGAATAATTTATAAAGAAACAAACATTTCTTTTCATTCTGGGAACTGGGAAATCCAAGGTTGAGGTATTGCATCTAGGGAGACCTTCATGTTGGTGGGGACTCTGGAGAGAGAACCAAGGCGGTGTGGGGACTCACACGATGAGGGGGCCCCATACAAGAAAGGCTCAAACCAGCCAAACTTTATAATAGACCCACTGTAGAGATAACTCATTAACCCATTTACACATTAATCTAAGAACGGATTAATGTATTCACAAGGGCAAAACTCGTATTACCTAATCACCTCCCAAGATTCCACGCCTTTAAGTATTATTAACCTATGACTTTGGGGATTAAGTTTCCAGCACATGACAAACATTCAAACCACAGCAAATAATGAAAAGTCACCTAGCCTCAGGCTGAGGACTCATGCACTTTTCTTCATATATGTCAAGTTTGAATTAAACATTTACTAAAATAAATCTGGGGGTACTAGCATGTGCATAATGGACAAAAGGAACCTTGGATTTGTGGCTACCAAGTAAGTGACACTTCCTTCCCAGTGGCATCACAAAGGGTGTGATCACGACTTAGTATGTCATCTCCTAGGCACTGGGGATTAGCCCAGGAGCAGACACCTAACTCAAGTGAGCTGATCAGAGCCCTTCCCTAAAGTAAGGATGCCTGTTGAACAAACTTCCCCCTGATGCTGGGGTTGCAAATGACAGCAGGAGAGTCCCAGATGCTTCTAATCCCAGTTTCGGTCCTTCCTCAATTTGCCAGAATCTTCATTCTTTTTATTCTGTGAGTCAATCCTATATCCCTCCCAATTAGGTGAAACAATGAATTGCTTTTTATGCTTAAGTTTGTTTAGTTTAGTTCCTGACACTTAAAACCAAAGAGTCTTGACTAATCCATTGAGCAACTGGGTGGATGGCAGGGCCACTGTATTAGGCACACAGGAGGAAGAGTAAGAGCAAGCGGCCTGAGACCATCTCATCTGGGAAGGGGCAGATCTCTTCCTACTCAGGAGCTTTTCACAGCCTGACAATGGTGTTCTGTGTCATCGGTTTCTATGCCTGTGGTCTCGACTAGCCCCCAAGGTAACCACACTAATGTGTAATCACTTCCTAACTTGGAGTTCAAATTAAGTTTATATTTGCTTAAACTATCAAACTCATTGACTTTGAGACTCCAACCAGCCTAGCTTAGAAATATTTCTTTCCTCCTGGGTTTCTCCCGTCATTAAGAACCATGAAGCCCACAGGGGTGCTTACCTGGTTCAAGGGCCTGAGTTCTGGCCATGAAAGTCCTCAGGAGAGGCTGACTCCTCTGTTTTTGCTCTCAGTACCACATGGTGTCACTGTTGAAATAGACAGTTGTATCCCTCTGTCATTGTCCTGCCCTTGTCTCCTAGCACTGGTGAAATACATCTGCTCCAGCTGTTCCCATTGTCCTTCACCCACTGCTGGACAGTCTAGGTGGTTCCCCTCTACCTGATTCCCCTCTACCCCCTCTCCTGGAGTGAGGCTTAGAGGGCATCACAGGGCATACCACAGGCTCCACACCCCTGGGGACAGGGAGTTTGGCTGACCCCCATTTTCCCAGCTTAGACCCACCTCTAGTTCCTCAGCTCAGGACATGGACACCAGTGTCATAGACATTTCCCCATGGCCTGCTCTACCAGGGTAACAGGCTCTATAAGGGTCTCTACCTGCAACTTCAGCTGCTCCGTGCCCTGGGCTACCTACCCCCCCCACACCCCCTGACTTCTTCATTCTTCCCCTAGAATGAGGGAAATCCTAACTAAGGCCCCTGTCTCCATTTCCTACTTCATGATGAATTCCTAAGAGTTGTGGATGCAGAGGGCACCAAGTGACACACTCTCCTGTGTGGGAGACAAAGACA